AATAAGTAGCAACAGAGAAGCTGGAGATTGAAGGAAAGCAAAACAAATCAGGAAATCTAATCATCAAAAAGTATATCAATCTTGATAATAAATGATTGCTGGAGGTCTGATAGAAGCCATGGATCAATTGTCAAAGGAGTCAGGACCGTATAATCCACAAAGGGTGAAACTTGGTACAGTCGTACTGTGATAGTTCCACATGTTCACTTCCCTTCCAGTCTAACATTTTTAAAAAAATTATGTTTTACTTCAAAAAAGATGAAAATGTTAAAGTCAATAACGAGCATGTAAGTCTTATTCTTGACGAGATAATTGTAGCCTCGAGGATTGACAAGTTTTTTCACAGAGATTGCTATAATCAGTGCATTCTTTTTCTTCATCTCATACAATGTTCTTTCCAAATGCATCGTAAGTCATGGCTACAGTATATTGTTGCCCAAATAGCACCTTGCCTTCTTTTTCTCATGAGCGGCCTTTGATGTGTGTGTGTGAACTGGATAGCAGCAGTACAGCACATACCCCTGAACTTATCACAAAAGATATTTTGTTTCTGCAGTTGAGACAGGAAGTTTTGATTGATATTATGGTTTATAATACACTTTAAAGGTTTATCATCCTCTGGAAGCTTACACTTAAGATGAAAATTATATCATGGGCATATTCAGAAACATGTAAAGTGATATTGCACTGCTTCAGGTTGTGGCACATTTAAGTCAATAAAATATTCATAGCACAAACCTGTCTTTATGACCTTTATTAGAATTACTGTAAAACAGGATATTCACTAGATATGGAAGTTTCTCCGTGCGTTGAGTCGATTTTGTTGTTTATCAAAAGGTAAAAGGTCAGGAAATCGCAGCAATTTTTTTTCATACACCTATTCAATAATAGTGAATGACAACAAAAAAATGTCAGTAACAAAGACATATTTGACAGGGAGATGAGGAGAATAATGGATAATTTTTTTTTCTGTTTTTCAGTCTAACATTAAATGGGTCTGGCAATTGTAATTGAGTAATGTGGTTTTCAGTTGTCAGGTTTCTATCTTTTGTTTTAAAAGAAACAGACGAGAGGCACATTTGAAAAGATCTTAATTTTCTTCCGATCAAACCTGCTAGCTTTGATTTCTCTGACAACATTGTAGAAAATCTGTCGCAACTTTTGACTGATTTGTTTTTCTCTAAAAGAAGATGGTTATTTTCCTCAGATGTTTTGAACTGAGAAGTGTTTGATAATTCTAGATGCATATTAGATGTAGCTAATGCAAGTCTGATGATTAAGACAGACTTTGTGTTCTTTTCTGATCAGTAATAGGCCTTGGGTTTGATGCTATTTTAGTCATAGCCAAATTTTTGTCAGAACTTTTACTCAGTCCTCACGGCTTCAAGAATATTCTGTGACACTTCATTAAAGACTTACATTGATTTTTTGACTTTACTCCTAAAATTGTGCTCCTCAGGGCCAATTGCTCTCAAGCAAAATGAATGTAAGGATGGTTCCTCTTTTCATTTCTCGGCTGTCTTGGACAATCCACTGCATTTGCTTGCAAGAGCTTCCCATTTCAATTTCAAGTTGACTAACATTGCCCTTCTTGATCTCCCTCATGGTGTATATCTTTCCAATCCTCTTTCAGTCACTTCCTTTGCTAAGTTCTCATGCTATATAATTTGGTCAATCCAACATTTTTGCCTTTTTTTTGATAACATTCACTAACAGTCTTTCCTCTTCCTCCATCCCGAAAATATCTTCTTTGCTCTTGTGCTCTTTTCAGCTGATCTGCCCTATCCTCCTCCAGTGCCACATTTGACAATTTTCTAATCTTTGATGTTCTACTTTTCTCCAGGCCCATGTTTCATTCTTGCGCAACAGGACACTCCATATCAAAACTTGAATCTTCTTTTCTTAACATACCTGTTCTTCTTATGCTGGACAATTCTTTTCTTGGAGAGTGCATTATTTTGCTATTCGAGACTTAACTTATTTACAACAATAATTATCTTCCGACAAATGCTTCCTAGGTACTTGCATTGAAATGCCTACTCCAGCTATTGACCATTTATGCATCTGTGTGTGTGTGTAAGACTGTCTGTATGGAGTTTACATTTTTTCCCCCATGTCCGTGTGGGTTTCCTCTGGGTGCTCTGGTTTCCTCCCACAGTCCAAAGTTGCACAGGTTAGGTGGATTGTTCATGTTAAATTGCCCGTAATGTCCATTGAGGCTAGGTGGATTAGCTATGGGAAGAACAGGGTTACAGGGATAGGGCAGGGGTATGGGTCTGGGTGGGATGCTTTTCAGAGGATCGGTGTGGACTTGATGAGCCGAATGACCTGCTTCCACACTGTAGGGATTCTGTGATTCTATGATTTATCTTAACTTCAAATTTTCCATTATTGTTTCTTTCAATAGTCAAAAAGAAGGTCAGTTGATGGAGATGGAGAGATTTCCAGATGATCAGATCTGAGTTGCCAGCATAACAGAATATCTCCAGATACTAACAGATAAAATGAATGAAGAGTTGAAGCATTATGGAATAAAAACGAATGTCAAAAAAATTACCTGTGAGGATTAGTATCGGAAATTAGCAGATGAGACTTTAAGAAAAAAATCAGCATAGTGAAGAATCGCTCTGTGAATTACTTGTGTTAAGGTTGAAATAATTTCTTCCTGTTTGCATTTATGATATTATTACATGATTACAGTTGTTTGCTGTTGTATCTTTAGACTAGGGTTCAGTTTTCACCTGGTCTTATCAGGCAGGAAGTAGCGACAGCAAAGTGTCTGAGATAGTAGGAACTGCAGATGCTGGAGAATCCGAGACAACAAGGTGCAGGGCTGGATGAACACAGCAGGCCAAGCAGCATCATAGGAGCAGAGAGGCTGACGTTTCGGGCCTAGACCCTTCATCAGAAAAGGGGGAGGGGAAGGGGGTTCCGAAATAAATAGGGAGAGAGTGGGAGGCGGATAGAAGAGGGATAGAGGAGAGGATAGGTGGAGAGGAAACAAACAGGTCGAAGAGGCGGGGATGGAGCCAGTAAAGGTGAGTGTAGGTAGGGAGTTAGGAAGGGGATAGGTCAGTCCAGGGAGGACGGACAGGTCAAGGGGGCGGGCTGAGGTTGGTCGGTAGGAGATGGAGGTGCGGCTTGAGGTGGGAGGAGGGGATAGGTGGGAGGAAGAACAGGTTAGGGAGGCAGGGACGAGCTGGACTGGTTTTGGGATGCGGTAGGGGGAGGGGAGATTTTGAAACTTGTGAAATCCACATTGATACCATTGGGCTGCAGGGTTCCCAAGCGGAATATTTTCCCTGCAACCGCAGGAAGTGCTACACCTGCCCCCATACCTCCTCCCTCACCCCCATCCCAGGCCCCAAGAAGACTTTCCACATCAAGCAGATGTTCACCTGCACATCTGCCAATGTGGTATACTGCATCCGCTGTACCCGGTGTGGCTTCCTCTACATCGGGGAAACCAAGCGGAGGCTCGGGGACCGCTTTGCAGAACACCTACGCTCGGTTCGCAATAAACAACTGCACCTCCCAGTCGCAAACCATTTCAACTCCTCCTCCCATTCCTCAGACGACATGTCCATCCTGGGCCTCCTGCAGTGCCACAACGATGCCACCCGAAGGTTGCAGGAACAGCAACTCATATTCCGCTTGGGAACCCTGCAGCCCAATGGTATCAATGTGGATTTCACAAGTTTCAAAATCTCCCCTCTCCCTACTGCATCCCAAAACCAGTCCAGCTCGTCCCTGCCTCCCTAACCTGTTCTTCCTCCCACCTATCCCCTCCTCCCACCTCAAGCCGCACCTCCATCTCCTACCGACCAACCTCATCCCGCCCCCTTGACCTGTCCGTCCTCCCTGGACTGACCTATCCCCTTCCTAACTCCCTACCTACACTCACCTTTACTGGCTCCATCCCCGCCTCTTCGACCTGTTTGTTTCCTCTCCACCTATCCTCTCCTCTATCCCTCTTCTATCCGCCTCCCACTCTCTCCCTATTTATTTCGGAACCCCCTTCCCCTCCCCCTTTTCTGATGAAGGGTCGAGGCCCGAAACGTCAGCCTCTCTGCTCCTATGATGCGGCTTGGCCTGCTGTGTTCATCCAGCCCTGCACCTTGTTGACAGCAAAGTGTCTGTCTGGTTATCCTTCCCGCTTGATTCTCTTCTTCACTTTGAAGTCTGTGTTTCCTGCCCACTGTGAACAGCTCAAAACTCCTACAAGTTTACATAACTAACACAGTCCCAGAAAAATTAATCTTTACCTGTGTGTGCTTAACATACGTACAATGTATTTAATTATTCTTCCCATCACTAGAAAAATAGCTTGATGACAATGGTTTTTGGCCATTTACATTAACCCGTTATTGTATGGTCTGCAGCTAAGAGAGCTTTAGCTGGCAAACAGTGGTAACTGTTGGAAAATAGCTGATCATGGACAATGGGCCCTCCCCCATTCATTTTTCTCCACCTCCTAGCTAATTGTCAGATTAAAAAAGTGTAAGAAGTAGGAACAAATCACCTCGAGCTGACATTGCCTTTTAATTTCCCGCAGAATCCTAACATTCTATTCATTTAAACTACGACACATATTTGGCTTTTAAAAGTCCCATAAATCAATATCAAGCTAACTGCAGTAATTATTACAAGTTAGAGCATAATTTTCAAGCTGAAAGCTCCATGTCGAATTTTAGCATATGCAAACTAGGCAATTCTAACATGTATAGATATTAATATTGAGAATCAGGTAACGAGATACCAGCTATGAATAATGCATTAACAGTGGCTGATCTTTATGAAAGAAATGAATTCAGCATGTAATCTAATTAGTAAAGGCAGTCTATTACATCTAGCAAAAAAGCAATCGTCCTTGAAATAAGTTTATTTACAATATCTCTCCCAGCACTTTCAACAACTTCAAAAATGTTACTAACTGATGTGGAATGCTCACTGAATTTAGATGTGTTTGTTTTTAACATGACTTTTTTCATTTTCCCCAGTTCCAGGCCAGGAAGACCTCCTAAACGATCTCAGAGTGTTACATCCCCTGAGAACTCCCACATCGTGCCACACACTGTCCCTGGTCTAATGTCCCCAGGAATGATCCCACCTACAGGTAAGTGGTTTTTCAAGAGGATAATCTTTATCTTGCTTGCATGTTGCCTTGAATTAACAGTGAATGCTTGAATACCAAAGCATGCCCTTCAGGTTTTGTATTTTACTCAGAATTGACATGAAATTAAATAGTACACCCATTCCCCTTTTTGTTGCAACATGCGGATACCTTTCATACCTACTGTCAGTAATGATTAATAGAATTTCATTAATTGCTTACACTGTATCCCAGCCTTTCCTTGCTAATGCGGGAGGCAATTTCTAAAAATAAATCCATCCTCTCTCTCTGTCCTCAGATTTGGGAGGAAATAATGCTTCAGGAAGTTTCAGGAGGTGTTAAAATATCCCTATGGGGTGCTTTACTGATTATTCAGTTAGTGAATGCTCCACCAGCGTGGAACTGAGGTGCTTGGAGCTGGAGAATCACAGCTCTGGGTTTTGCTCTATAGTGAGTTCAATGGTCTCAGTCTAGCATCATAATTCACTTCAGTGCTCCTGTGCTACAGGGGGAGAGGAGAAAGAAACTGCCTGGTTTCCTGTTCCACTGGACAGAAAGTGAGATAATAGTCTTATGTTCAGCTGTGGAGTCCCTTTGGATTGTATGATCTGACAGAGAATTGGTGAAAAAAGACGTTCTATTGAAGCTTTTCGTCTTGCACTCCTGAAGACAATTCTCAAGCAAGTAAAAGGTAAAGGGCCTTTACACAGTCCAGCCAATGGATACAGTACTCAAGATTGAAAATGGGGAGAGTTTTGGCAAGAATTTTCCAAAGGCACTCAGAGTCTTGGGCAATTTGTAATATAATTCTCATAACTCAAGAAGAAAATGCTAAGCACTCGTGCTTGTACACTCCCATGAAGATTTCTCATCTTCTGATGGGAGAGGTTAAATTTTAGGCAGCAAGGTCAAATCTCCAGTGACAGAACTGATACAATGGTGCTTAGCTTTGGTAACTGTTCCCAAGACCGATGGAAAGCTAAGGTTTTGTACGGATCTCACTCTGTTAAACAAAGGAGTTCGAAGAGAAATCCATTCTATTTTGTCAGTTGAGGATAGTTGTCAAAATTGGCAAGGAGCATGTTTTTCACAAAATTGGAAACAAACTGTGTATTCTGGCAGATTCTCCTACATGCGGACTCAAGATTGCTGATTACATTCATTATATCATTCAGGGATATTGCATCAGCTATCTACAATTTGGTATTTCCCTTGCACCAGAGATCTTTGAAAGAATACTGTCTGGAATTCTGTAGGGGAAGCTGGGAACCATTTGCACATAGATAAATTCCTGATGCATGAAAAAAAATGAAGAAAGAACACATCCAGAGCATTAGGGAATTACAGGCCTTACACTAAATGAGAAACGCTAATTTTCAAGAACGGCAATCACATTTCTAGGATAGTTAATCCAAGAACAAAGTGGATCCCAGGAAGACAATGACCATCAGTGAACTTCAAGCACTGTGTAAATGACATACAGAACTTTGGGTACTTTGAAACAAGGGGGGAACAATTTTGTCTGGAAGGGTAATCGAAATGTGATCTAGGACACCAAGTGCTGAATAAATACGAGGAGTGAAAAGAATGTTTGACAATAGTGGGAGATTTATTTGTGGACAATGCCCATCATGATTGCTACCTGCAATCGCAGCTGGTATCAGGTAGGCTGCACCTCGCTCCTGAAAGTGCACTGTGTCTCTTATTAGGTGCCAATATCATCTCCATTTCAATTTGGCTATTTGCATTTGACGATCATGCCCCAAACTTTATGCAGTTTGGACATGCGCTCAGAACTCAGAATTCCTACAGGTGTCAGGTTCTCTACCACACATTTCAACTGTACAAGGCTGTAGGCAGAAACATGAGTACATATTAAACATTGTAAAATATTTATAATTTATGCAATTAAACTACCCCCTTGCAAATTTACTAAACATAGAATTTACAGTGTCATAGGGAAGAAAAGATGATACAACTCTTGACAGCTAAATATGTTTGGTAGTGTGTAGAAGATTTAATAATTGGCTTAATTTTTAAATTATGAACCGAGGGAATATAATGTCAGTCAATGTCCAAGCCGGATATTATTTTTAGATGCCTCATTTTCGTGCAAGATGTTTTGGGAATTATTATTTTTTTCTTCCCACATGTCATAAGCAGATGATGACAAAGGCTTGAAAAGGAATACTCTGACAGGTTTCTATGATTGCTGAGCTTTTCGCAAGTAGAAAAGGAAAAGGGACGAAAGTTTAAACTCTGTGTGCTATACCAAGCGCCCTTGTTAAAACTCCAATATACCATGGGGAAGATTCATTGAGTAATTGATGCCATTGCAGTGCGCACAGAAATCAGCACTTGATTCCAGAAAATCATTAATTCCTCTCCCTTGAGTAGCTTTGATGTGAAGCCTTGTTGAGAAATGACATTGGTATTTGTTGCTGTATTGCTAGAACATTTTTATATATTGCGTTCAATTGCACATTCCTTGGAAGAGCCTTTCACAAACACTTCCTGATAGAAATGCCTGGCGCTGGTGATGAACAATGCACAAACAATAGCTGTGGAGAGAGTATTTGCTTTTGTATACAATGGGAAAATGCACTTGATCTCAAGGTCTCTGTTGTACTATGGCAGTTGACATTGAAGACATGAAAGAAAATAGAAGAACCACTTGTTTGCTATTGTGGTCGTTATGCGTTTTGATCATTGTTACACCATGGCTAGGTTAAGTACAGTTATTGAGGTCTAAACAAAGGAATCATAATATTTATGTTGACATGAAATAAATATCACAAAACTGGGAATGTTTTCACATCTAGTCAGCAACCAAATGGGAATGGTGACTAATATTTTGGATGTAACACCAACAGAAAGCTTAAAACTATGGGTCAGAACTTCCCATCTAGCATTTTGTCCATAGATTTATCAACAACAGTAACAAGCAGCAAAAATAAGTCAATAGGCATCATTTTTTGGATCACAAGATCATAGAATCAAATCACACTCCAGGATTTGAATACAAAAATGGTCACAGCTGGTACTTTAACCTTGCACTTTCACAGGGGGATGTCTTTTGCATGACAACCTAACAGCCTACACAGCTGCAAACAAAACTCCCAGGGCATCATTTTGAAGAAGAGCAGGCAATCTGCTGATCAAATCAGCACTCATTGTCTATCATGAAAACTTATGAAATATCCTACATCCACCATTTTTGATCTTGAGTGGCGATCAATTTACCTCAGACTACTGTGGAAGGGGAAAGGTGTCTGAAAGATTTGAACAGTAGGTGAAGGTAGCTGTCTCTCACTGCTGCTCTCATTTCCTCCAGTAACAAAATGCTGCTGCCAAGCCAAAACGGTGCTTTGCCTCCCACACATGAGTGATGTGATATGACACCATCCAGCACTATGCAGCTTGACTGATTGGCACCACATCTACAAACATTCATTCACTCCACCATTGAAGATCAGTAGCAGCGGTGTGTACTATTGACTGGTTGTGCTGCAGAAATTCACCACAGCACCTTAGATAGCACCTTCTATACCCACGACCACTTGCAACTAGAAGGGCAGGGACAACTTTCTGTAAGGTCCACCACTTTCTGTAAGTCCCCTTCAAGCCACTCACCATTCTGACTTGGAAATATACCACCATTCCTTCACTGTCACTGGGTCAAAATCCAGGAATTCCTCCCTATTGTGGGTCTATGGTACATGGACTGCAGTGGTTCAAGAAGCAGCTTACAATCTCCTTCTCAAGGACAACAAGGGAATGCAATAAATGATGGCCCAACCAGCGGTGCCCATGTCCCATTAGTTAATTAAAAATAATGAGTTTCATTGCCAGTATGATGCCAGGTATGTATGTCATATATATATATATATCACAATGACTGACAGACTATATCAAACAACATGTCCCATTGACCATTCGCAACCGGCAGCATGCCACTTGTGCTCAACCAGGCTGTTCTTGTAAGTCTAGGAAAAGTATATCCACAATTTGATATGATTCTGCATTTGGATATCATTTATTAAATAATCCAAACTGTTACACCAGAAACAAATTTAAGATCATTAGCCAGACCCGCAGTCTGATGCCTTGAGCATGCTAAAAGTTAAAACAATAAATACTCAGGACATTGTTTTATGTAGGCAAAAGGAATTTGCACCTCTATCAAAATAAAGTGTCATGAAGACAGTCAAATTTTGCTGCATCCCTATGACAATGCTTTGACCAATCAGCATCTACCTGCTTAGTCTGAAAATGAAGATTGACAATTAGTGGTTCTTGTTGAATCTCCACGTCAGTTACGCTCCAACCAGTCAGCACTCTCTTCTTCTGTATAAAATTACAACTCTTTGCCGAAGTCTGTTTCTTGGGTCCTGGTTCTGATAATTTTAAGACCAAAAGTTTCAAATTCTAGTCTCCTTTTACCGATGTTTAAAATCAGGGGAGTTATCCCTGGCCAAAAAGAATGAAGGAACTGTGAATGCAGGAAATCTAAAACAAAAACAGAAATTGCTGGAAAATCTCAGCCGGTCTGGCTGTATCTGTGGAGAGAAATCAGAGTTAATCTTTTGGGTCCAGTGACCCTTCTTCAGACCTTAACGTTAAATCTGATTTCTTTCCACAGATGCTGCCAGACCTGCTGAGGCTTTTCAGCAATTTCTGCTTTTGGCTAAGTTATTCCTGGTGTTCTGGCCAGTATCTGTCTCTTAACCAACATTACAACAAACAGGTTACCTGAACATTATTATATTGCTGTTTCTGGGAGTTTGCTATGAGCAAATTGACTTCCACATTTCCAACATTACAGCAGTGACAACTTATAAAAGGATTTTGTTGGCTCTAAGGTGCTTTGAAATGAACGGTACTCATGAAAATTGCTTCATGTAAATGCAAGTCTTTCATTAGTTATAAAGTACGAAGAGTCTTATGGGGCACATAAAACTATCTGCTACAATTTTCGATTATGGTCTCATGTGAAGCTCTAT